AACAACAACAACAACAACAACAAGAGACAAAGAACAGACACCCCATGGCAAATCAAGATTATCCGAAAAGAGGAGGAGCTGGTACTCCAGTAGCGAGGCAGGCAACAAAACCATAACGTCATCGACTTTCGTCGTTTCGGTGGTCAAACCAGGCTAGAGCGCTGCAAACTCGAACTCGATATTTATGGAGATGTGATTGAGATGTAGTCTCTAGAAGCCAAGAGGGTTTCAGGTTGAAAACCCGTCAGCCTGTAAGTTCTGAGCCAAGCTGGCTCAGAAGTATTTCCGTCAGGAAACTTTGGAGCACACCCAGTGGTTTGCCTACTAGTAGCCGAGTCACGTCTTTGCATGATCCTTTCATATCCCAGGCAGCTGCCACCGAGCGCCCCAGCATGCTGTATGTCCTTGCTGGACCACTTCTCGTAAGGTCCTCGCGTCGGATTGCGGATGATGTCAGCACGCAACACAAATACACACAGACACACACCCACACGGACCCCGACACCGAATTGAATGGTCACCCATGTGTCCGAAAAGCCGGCCTGTAGCATTCGCGGCTGTATCAGGGTGTATGGGCTCATCCTGATCTGTCCACCTCGGAAAGAGCAGGATGCAAAAGGCACCTACGGGCGAAAGCCTCACCCTAACCAATGAATTCAGCGGGGGCGCGGAGGCATGACCATCCTACGGATATGATCGTCAGACCTCTCCTCTCTCCGCTTCGGAGACACGTTTGCTGAAGATGTCTGGTCCTTCAGAAGTGAATCTCACAAAATCATTTGCCAGTGCTTGCCTCTCTCAACTTTACCCTCTCCTGCCCACGAACATACACTCTCACACTCGCTGTCCACGTACGGACCGGCAGAAATGTAGAAGGAAGTGTTGAGGTCCCAATACATTTCTCGTGTCACAACACCATCACCTTGTGAGCAAAAAGCTTGACGTCGGAGCCCCTGTCCAGCTAAGTGCGACTGAGGCAAGGGCTGTGCGGCTCGAAGAGCACTACCTCATGGCCAAGCCCCTCTAGCGCCAGGACCGCCTTCGAATTCTGTTCTCTTGCCAGCAGCACCATTGCCATGGCACCAGCATGGCTTCTGCCCGCCTCCCGGAGTGCCCGACGGACTGCGGGGCACGGCCGCGGAAACGTGAAGTCCTGACAACAACAGCTCTGTGTGTGTGTGTGTGTGGGCTGGGCGTGTGGGTGTGTGTCTGTCTGTGTGTCTGTCTGTGTGTGTTTGTTTTTGTTTTTGTGTTTGTTTTTGTTTTTGTTTTTGTTTTTGTTTTCGTTTTCGTTTTGGTTTTCGTTTTTGTTTTTGTTTTTGTTTTT